TGTCTCTACGTGAAGAGGCCATCATTCTTTTGCTTTTTGCATATAATCACGAATTCCGAAAAGATGGCAACCGTACGTACTTCTTACTATTTTCCATTCTACTTTGCAATACTCTACTTTCCTTTCTTTTTTTGCAGCGATCTTACCACTATCTTGTGCCTACCAATAGCGACAACGGCTTCGGTCTGGTAGCTTGCCAAGTGGCTGTCCTGGCAACCTGGGCTGCCACTTTCGTAGAGAACACAAATCTGACAATTCAGGTAAGCTAATACCGCCCATCCAATTTCTGTCTACTTTCGATGCATATAAGTAGTCTGACCTCATTTTAGAAACTTGTTCGTGTTGTCATGGTGACCCATTTGAATGCACCCTCGTCGACGTGCTCTGCTATAATAGTTATACCAATTTTCCGTGTTGGGTCGTGGACTTGGTAGACTTCCAGACTTTTGGCAGACTTCGGAGTCGACATCGTCAGTGAGTCTCGTCATTCTCAACACCATGCCGCAATTCGTCAAAGAGCCAAATGATGTCAATGCTTTGACGAACTTTCTGTCGAAACGGTCCGTCGAAAGCAACTCGACGCTTGCACGATTGCGGAAAAAACAGGAAGCTCAGGGGTTTGTCACTTTTGGCCCATGCCAATTTGGTGTCTTCCGATGGGGGCAATCTGGAAGGTGTTGGGCGCGATTTCTTCATCCGACGCGACCTCCTCCTCTCGCGTTGGCGGTTGATCAGACCGCCAGACACTCGATTTTTGCTCGGTTTGTTGCGATAATGCGAGAATCGGTGCCTTCTTTGTATGAAGTCTGACAAGGCGGAAATTCCCATTTTCCCGAGGCGGGTCTTGCTGACCATACGGCGGCCCAATTATGCGCGAACCCGGTCATCGTCGAGGGTGGGATTAGAACCTAAGGAGCCAAGAGATAGGAAGTGTGTTGCCTGAACCAGTTGATGTCATTTGCTGTGTCTCCCAAACTGTTTTCACACCCGACACAGACTGCCGGTTCGACCTCGTCGGGACTGGAGATCGGGGCCAGCATGTTTGGTTGCAATGCGATGACACTACGCCACGCAACCAAAAGGCTCAAAGGGTCAAAGGTCACATTCTTGCGAATCACATTTTCTGGTGGACTCGTCGACGGGACGATTGGCATTGTCTGCCTTGGATGGGAGCAGTTTTTATGAGAACTTTCACTTCTGTACTGACAACTAAATGTTCTTTATATAAAATTAGATGTCGTCGGTTAAGAAGTTGCCACGGGTTAGAATAGTAGTATGAGCAGTAGTAGTATTTGCAATGGTAGTAGTAGTGGCAAGAGAAGACGAGGGAGTAGCTACATTTCCCTCTTGATAAAAACACCTATTGGTGGGGGTAACAGCTGAGAAAGTTAGTGTAAGCGTAAGGCCAAATCATATCATTGTATGAAAACGTAACTATCCGCCTTACATCACTTCATGCAATCTGTGGTACCTACAAACCTTATATAAGATTTTTCATTTATAAGTAGGTTTTTGAGACTACGAGTATGAGATGTGTTCATCATATTTCATTTAAGATGATAAGGGGACTGGTAGATCAAGTTTTTTGCAACATTTTGTGAAAATTCAACTATCAGTCGTTCATCATTTTAAACGAAACTGGTGGTATACACCTCTCTTAGGCAAGGTTTACGTATAGCCTCGGAAACCTACTTTGTGTGAATATGGAGAATAGGAAAAAGGGTTCAAATTGAAAAGAAGCGGGTTTTCCCTCGTGGCGAGGCGCGGTTGCTTTGAGAGACACTTGCTCAGTGGGAGCAGTTGAAATGTGTCCGATTCACACAAATAATCTTCGAATTCATAGCCACATCCATCTGAGTATTTTCACAACTCTCCATACTTGTGAAGCGTTGACGGCTTCGAAAATGGCAAAAAGGCCTGTTTGACCTAAAGTCCTGCGAAATGCCTACACAAAAGTGGACGGAGAAAAAATAATGCGGGATTCACACTTATACACTTTCATATACGCTCCAGCGAATGAGCATTTTAGGCTCATGTATTTCAGTTTAGCGAGAGCCATCTGGCTGCTGCGACAGTACTCACCAAGAGCCACTTGGCTACCAGACAACGCTTTTCGTCATCCGTTCTGGAGGAAAATGTCAACTGGATTGGGCCATCTTCATGCCATGATGGTGACTGTTATATGAGTCCACGTCCCCTTCAAGCATTGCGGCTTCGGGGCAGTCGTTTAATGGCCTTCGTGTGAAAAGTGTGTGATGAGGAGATTCACAGCATGAAGTCATCATGCGTTGACGGCGATTTTTCATTGTTCTGCAGGTGACAACTACATATCGGAGTTCAATTCTCGAGACCTTCTTCTTGGGTTCCGGTGAAAGTGGATCTGGCATCACTAGACAGAAGTTGCTCTGGAAGCCTAAGCGAAAACGAAGTTCATTTGACTGTGAATTTAGTCATATATATGAGAATTTTCATAGTATTTCATTTAAGGTGATAGGTGCAGTGGTATTCGAATTTTCCCACAATCATGAGTGGAGTAGGTCGAAATGTGAATAGCATTTGTGGGAAAATTGAATTAACTGTCTTCTAATCACCTTAAACGAAAAATGGTGAATACATCTCATACTTAAAACGAAAACTATCTGGACTGGGTGAGGCTATGTCGCATTCTTATGGTATTTTGTAAGTCTGCAGAAATACTGGACTTCACATGATCCCTTAGTGATTTAACGTAACGCTACTTTTCATTTCGATGACTCTTTTGCACAATCCAACAATCATCAATCCAAGACGATCCTTATTTGGTTTTTGGGTGGAGGAATTCATGAAATGCTTTCAATTAACTGTTCAGTCTAAATGAGAGTAGAGTCACACCAAACATGCATTGACAATAATAACCTACGACGATGCTTACATGTTTTTAAATATTCCATACTTCTTAACTAAAAGTCTAACCACTTTAGGTTTCTTTGGATGATGTGAAGCCCAATGCCACATTCATATGAGCAGACCTCATGATTCCTTTTCATTTAACTTAACATTTTCTCTCAAAAGTGTTCTGTTTTAGGTTGGACTGCGGTTGGATGAGAACCCCTTTTGTATGGTAGGCCGTCATGGGGTCTATTCATAAGTTTATGAGAAAAATTCAGTTATCACTGACGAATTCACCTTATGTGACAAAAGAATACTTTAACATTTACTGACAGTTGGTAAACATAATCATACCAGAAGTAATAAGATTAACTGGGACTGCTTTAGATGCTATATAAATATATATATATATTTTTATTTATTTATTTATTTATTCATTCAAATGGCAAATATAATGAGTTTTAGATCTATTATTTCCGTCAAGTAGTATGAAAGTAGTATGTTTAGCACAATGCAATAACCGAAGGTGAATGTTTCAGGGACTACATCAGCCTGAACGTTTTAGTAAAAAGCGACGGTCTAACACTAAGCATAGTCTTTCCACTTTTCGGTGGACAGCCTATGCCTCTTTGCATCAAACAGTGTAAATGAAG